TATATATGATGAAATTGTATTTGTATTTCATAGCAAAAAATAATTTCGAAGTTAGTACCATCAAAATTCAAAAAAGCGAATGGTATTAATTTTATTTTTCAAAACTATTTCAGTGCCAACCAGTGCGCAGATAAGTTGCCTGCACCTTTGTAATGTTTAAATTGCATTAATTTAAATATTTTTGCAACCTGAGTTTAAATCTTTTATATGAATCGAAATGTCTTCCAAACATTAGACCTAGGTAATTTCAACAATTTCTGTTTTACTTCATAACTGTGCTACCTAATTGGAGTAGATTTTTTAATTTAATAAAATCAAACTCAAATATAGGTATCCTTAAATAAATTCTTCACGTAAACTCTTATTTGGTGCACTTGTACCTAAATCAGAGTAAATGTCCTCATTACTGAGTTAGTTTAAATGTATATTAATTTCGAGTAACTTGAATGGCGCTGTGAAGATGGCACCACTTACATATTGGTACTGTAAACCTCGACCACAGTTGATAGGGGCCCGTTAGATGCTCCAGAAGAGCGTGATGGCCAGGCCTTAGCCGGTGGCGGCGAGTCTCAGCTGGCGGGGCTCAACCAGGACAGGAGTAGCCCCCGCGAAGTGAATTAATTTCAACAGTGTACCTATATCCTAATTAATCATTTATGAATGATTTATTTCTGCACTCAATATTTAGTTAGTTAAAAACCAAGTCTGAGTAAAAAAATACTCAATAATAGTTACTTAATTCATATTAGAGAAAAAGTCAACTCTAAATTGGTTTTATATACTCAGAATAGAGCCAAAAAGTCGCTCAATTGATAGTTAGCAGTTATTCGGATTTGAGTAAAACTCACTCATTCCTGCTGCAATGGTTTCACTCAGTTGTACTCATACGAATAGAGAGAAAATTTCACTCAATCGGGTGTTGACAGAAATTGATACTTTATTGAGTAAAATCAAGGGAACCCATAGAACAGCTCTCTCGTGCAATATCATAATTTGTCTACAAGTTTATACTCGTATATCTTTTGCATAGGTAGATTTTTGGTATCGAAGAACATTGTTTAGTTTCATTTGTTGGAATTTTTGGATTAAATATTGAATTTGTACTTTTAAAATAAAGTAAAAATAAGAGACCTTTAAAAACATTTACGCTTGTTAAAATAGATATCTTGATTGGTTTATGAAATTAAACGAATTGAAGAAGAATGAATATGATTAGAAAGGACTTGGTTACATAGCAACTACCAATAATTTTTTAACATCTGTTTATGACATGCTTTTTTGGATATATCTCTCTTACAATTAGAGATAGACCCATCGAATCCAATGCTATAAGAAAGGGACATATCCAAATAAGTAATACTATACATGGTACTTCACTGAAAAGATAAATTTTTGAATTACATCAACAATTGATGTCACCGGTAAAAAAGATACATTTTTCATGTCATTTAGAATATTATGGGTGCAAAAATCCTTCCGACTCTCACTTGTATGTTAATTTTATCCACATGATTAAAAGATTTCTTACATTAGTTTTACATCAAAAATAAAATAATACTGTGTACTATCTATGGAAAAGTTTTGTTTCACAATTTCTACATACAAAAAGAGCCGCACCGTCCATCTTCGCCATATAAACCTATGTTAGAATGAGCAACTTTCAACAACAATACCTATGTAGATTAAAAAAAAATCAAAAAAATATGACGCACAGAGGGAGCATTGTGTAATACGCTATATAAATTTCAAGTACATCTGTGCATTTTAGTAAACCCGATATACCTCCTTATGGTTATGCAACTTTTTAGTGGAAATTTAATTGCAAGTTTACTTATGAAATACTAAAATGTTTTGTTTGTGTATATCCACAAATTTGCTGACAGGTGGAATAACTATTGTATTCATAGCGTTTCTTATTCTGCAACAAAATATACTTCGTCTTCGACAATGACTTAAAAAGTAGTTATGTCAAGTACATACATAGTAGAGCACAAATTATGTAAGAATACACAACCACACACAAAAAAGTGAAATATGGTTTTGACCAAACTAGTATATCCTATAGTATTTTGACGCACTGAATCCGAATCCACTGTCAGAATTGCGCCAACACGTCTCATTTTATCTAACCTCAAAAAATAGGTCAAAAATAGACGAAGAATTATGAGAATTATGGTATGTAGAGGTTTCAGATTAACGCTATATTGAATCCGTGGAGGCTTTTAGATTCGCTAATCACGAATTTGAATTCAGAATTGCAAAACTCAACATGGCGGATCCAATATGGTGGACGAGATTTAAAAAAAATCAACAGTTTAATCCCGAATTAGATCCTGGAGGGTTTTGGGGAGTTGCTAATCACGAATACGAACTCAGAATTGCAAATTCAAACATGGCGGACCAGGATCCAATTTGGTTGATTTTGTGGATGAATGTATGCATCATCAGATGGATGGCTTTTTAAAAACATAATAGATGGATCCTTTGGAAGTTGACATAACCTGACCAACTAAATCAGACACAAAAAACAGTTCCTGATGAAGCTGTGAACCCCAAACGTAACATAACCTGCCTTATTTTTTCTAAAATTTAACGAGAAAGAAAATATTTCTCAGAAATTTGGACACGCACTTTAATTTCATCCTATAATTGTATTGTCACAAAACAAAAAAATCAATGTAAAGAGCTTAAAATACAAAACAACTGAGGAGAACTTGTATGGAAAAAGCATATACGAAATTTTCATTAATGTTTTTGCCCTATGTTTCCAGTAATAATTCAATTACACAGAAAACACTTCTTTTCTGTAAGAAATTTATTTGGCTCTTCATGAGTATAATGGTGGGAGAGTGTCATTTTGAGAATATTGACAAACTAAAATATAAATGAATGACATTATAAACATGTGAGATATGTTAATAAACTCGATGGATAGGGTTGTTTTAATGAACACGTCTTACGTCGTTGCTCGTTTTTTCATCGCCCAAAAAAGACCTACTAACACCTCTGCTACAGGGTGTGCAAGTTTTTTTGTGTTCGGTTTTATTTTCTAAACAACTTTAATGTTTTGAATTAAATTTACGTGATTGTAGCCATTTTTTACCATTTTCTGTTATTGTGTTCGGGTATACTTAAATAATAAATAAATGTAATCTTAAATGAATTAAGGAAAGATAATGATGTTAATTATTGCCCTATATATATATGATAAAATTGTATTTGTATTTCATAGCAAAAAATAATTTCGAAGTTAGTACCATCAAAATTCAAAAAAGCGAATGGTATTAATTTTATTTTTCAAAACTATTTCAGTGCCAACCAGTGCGCAGATAAGTTGCCTGCACCTTTGTAATGTTTAAATTGCATTAATTTAAATATTTTTGCAACCTGAGTTTAAATCTTTTATATGAATCGAAATGTCTTCCAAACATTAGACCTAGGTAATTTCAACAATTTCTGTTTTACTTCATAACCGTGCTACCTAATTGGAGTAGATTTTTTAATTTAATAAAATCAAAATCAAATATAGGTATCCTTAAATAAATTCTTCACGTAAACTCGTATTTGGTGCACTTGTACCTAAATCAGAGTAAATGTCTTCATTACTGAGTTAGTTTAAATGTATATTAATTTCGAGTAACTTGAATGGCGCTGTGAAGATGGCACCACTTACATATTGGTACTGTAAACCTTGACCACAGTTGATAGGGGCCCGTTAGATGCTCCAGAAGAGCGTGATGGCCAGGCCTTAGCCGGTGGCGGCGAGTCTCAGCTGGCGGGGCTCAGCCAAGACAGGAGTAGCCCCCGCGAAGTGAATTAATTTCAACAGTGTACCTATATCCTAATTAATCATTTATGAAGGATTTATTTCTGCACTCCATATTTAGTTAATTAAAAACCAAGTCTGAGTAAAAAAATACTCAATAATAGTTATTTAAATCATATTAGAGAAAAAGTCAACTCTAAATTGGTTTTGTATACTCAGATTAGTGTCAAAAAGTCGCTCAATTGATAGTTCGCAGTAATTCGGATTTGAGTAAAACTCGCTCATTTCTGCTGCAATGGTTTCACTCAGTTGTACTCTTACGAATAGAGTGAAAATTTCACTCAATCGGGTGTGGACAGAAATTGATACTTTATTGAGTAAAATCAAGGTAGCCCATGGAACAGCTGTCTGCGCTATATCATCATTTGTCTACAAGTTTATACTCGTATATCTTTTGCATAGCTGAATTTTTGGTATCGAAGAACATTGTTTAGTTTCATTTGTTGGAATTTTTGGATTAAATATTGAATTTGTACTTTTAAAATAAAGTAAAAATAAGAGACCTTTAAAAACATTTACGCTTGTTAAAATAGATATCTTGATTGGTTTATGAAATTAAACGAATTGAAGAAGAATGAATATGATTAGAAAGGACTTGGTTACATAGCAACTACCAATAATTTTTTAACATCTGTTTATGACATGCTTTTTTGGATATATCTCTCTTACAATTAGAGATAGACCCATCGAATCCAATGCTATAAGAAAGGGACATATCCAAATAAGTAATACTATACATGGTACTTCACTGAAAAGATAAATTTTTGAATTACATCAACAATTGATGTCACCGGTAAAAAAGATACATTTTTCATGTCATTTAGAATATTATGGGTGCAAAAATCCTTCCGACTCTCACTTGTATGTTAATTTTATCCACATGATTAAAAGATTTCATACTCACATATTCTATGTGAATTATTTTTTAGTACATCTCATCCTAGAACTCATTTTGCAAAAACCATAATAAAAGGTGCATATTTTAGCAACCTAGGAAAATTATGTCGCAAAAGATTATGATAAGTTCGTCTGGCTTCCTTGAACTTGCGCAGTGATTTCACGTTTGCTTGTCGTTGAAGCTCCTTGCGTTAAATCTAAAATATGTTTCATGTAAATCTTTACATCTATCTAGTCAATTTACCGAAACAACCACTAACGACCATTTCTTCTCTAGCTGACGTCGTGCTGTGCACTCTACCCTTGGGCGTCCTGAAGCTGTGTGCCGCGCCTTCCAGTAGTCAACTGAACACGGTGCAGTTTTCTCCACCTCTACCTGATTGGAAAACCTCCGCAATTCAACGGTTAGGTTTCGGTAACCTAAACAAGGTAGTCCTGTGTTTCGAAAGGATTTTCTGGAATCCTCAAGCTAACTTATTCGGGCACGTAGGAAGCACCACCGCCAGCAGAGGCGAACTCTTCTTGTTCTGGAACCTGTATAAGGCACCGGTATTGCTGGCTTTGGTAGCTGGTGAGGCTGCGGCTATAATGGAGAACGTTACCGATGACGTTATTGTTGGAAGGTAAGATGATTTATGAGTTAATATTTACTACCAATGAAAACAGACTAGATTACTTAAGCAGTCAGAAGTGCGCCCAATGAAGAAGACAACTAAACTTAGAAAAGCATACATTCATACATATTCGAATTATTTCATAATGCGGTTATAAGAATGCCTAAAGATCATTTGGTCTATCCATAAGCTTGTGGATGTTCTATACAACAACACCATTTTGGTGCTGCTTTTAGTCAATGTACTGTCAGAGAACATGTGAAAGATACAAACATATAAAAATTTCGGTTGTCTCGTTTTCAGTACATGATAAATAAAGATCCAGGTAGAGACTTGTAGCAAAAGAAGGCTCGAAGTGCTTGCGCCTAAGCTTAATATGTTATCGGAACACTATGCCGATTGAACGCCACAAATTTTCATGCAGAGAATATACAAAATTATTTCGTACATTAAAAGATAAAAAAATTGTGATTTGATTAATTTATGACTCGACTCTTTTTACTATTTTGGCACTGAAATATAATAATTTTCCCTCGTAATAATTTTTAAATTTGACAAATATACCGAATTATAATTTTTCAATAACTGATGTTTGTTTACTTCTTTGCAGGTGCATTGCAGTTTTGCGCGGTATTTTCGGCCAGTCAGGTGTCCCCCAACCGAAAGAAACAGTGGTGACGCGTTGGAGAGCAGATCCCTGGTCTCGGGGCTCGTACAGTTTTGTGGCCGTTGGTAGTTCCGGCAGCGATTACGACCTTCTAGCTTCTCCAGTCATACCACCGAACCCACAAGGAGTTTCAGTGACCTCTGGACCGGCCAGAGTATTTTTTGCTGGAGAACACACGATAAGAAACTACCCAGCCACAGTTCACGGGGCTTTTCTAAGCGGACTTCGTGAAGCTAGTCGCATCGCCGATCAAATCATCGGCAATCCTTGCCAACCTCAGCCAGCTGAATAATAAAAGATGTTTTGGGTTTTAATTTATGACTGCCTTACTGTTTATAATTGAATTGTATCGCTAAGTTATTTTAATAAAGATTTGATTTTCAATAAAATAGTTTATGTTAAACGTTATCCTGGCAAAATTTAATCTATTGTTTAGTCCAGAACGTTGATGCCAATCAGCGATACGTATGTATTTTGAGCTCTCTTCATAAGGAACATTATAAAAATCTCGGGGTAGAAAAGATGATGCAGGAAGAGATTGCACCGTAGTATCGGAGAGGGTTTCTATAGATTTTTTCAGATTTTTTCCGGGGTCCAAAAATTTTCACGAAAATTACCAAAAAAGTGCCCATTTAGAGTCAAGATCTTACATATGACTTGTTGTTATGCGGTAACGATTAATTTTTAATTTTCTTAAGAGCCTCCTTTCATCAAGACAATGAAAATTACTGAAACTGGAAGGGTTAAAGAGAAACAGTTTGCACTACCGCACAAGGAATTTCTATATAACTTTATCCCAAAGATTTTCCGAAAATATCCATGGACATCTATGAAAATTGTTAAAATATGAATGTGGCCATCTAGACATGGGATCGTACACAATTTACGTGCTGATCATGGGGTAATTTTTGTTTAAGAACCTCCTTTAATATAGAAAATGTAAAGATCTCGGAAACTGAGGGAGTTAGAGAGGAACAGATGGCACCACCAGATAGGAGAGAGTCTCTAGTCGTGGAGAATTTTTTCAGATTTTTGTGAGGCCCAAATGTTTTCTGAAAACATAGGACTTTTTCATGAAAATTATCATAACAGAGGAGTTAGTTTTGTTTAAATTGGGTTAGAAACGAACAGTTTGCACTATCGTATAGGGAAGGGTTTCTATGTTCTAAGAGAATTTTTCAGATGTTTCCGAAGTCCAAAGATTTTTCGAAAGTATCGATGGGAAGAAGATTTGATAAGTGCTCATCTGCAGCCGAGATCTTACATATTTTGACTTGCTGATCGTACAGTAAAGGTTATTTTTTGTCTAAGAGCCTCCTTTCTTCTAGAAAATGTGAAAATTTCCTAAAATTGAAGTAATCCTTCCACTTTCCTTCCTGTCCTTCCTCTAACGAGAGGCGCTGATTGCACCACCACGGGAAGACTGCTATGGTCTTGGGGAAATTTTTTAAGTTTTTTGGAGACCCAAAAGATTTCCGAAAATATGGACAATGAATATCGTCAAAAAATTAAGGTTCCCATGTAGATTAAAGATCTTACATATTTCGAATTGATGATCATGCAAGAATAGTTATTTTTTGTCTAACAACCTACTTTCACAAAAAAAAAATGTAAAAATCTCGGAACCTAGAACAATTAAAAAAGAACATATTGCACCACTGTATAGGTGGTATTGCTATGGCCTAGGAAATGTTTTTTTCAGATTTTTCAGACTTAAAAGTTTTCTCGAGAATATCGATATTATAAAAATTATTATCAAAGATTATCTCAACAGACGGGATCGTATGTGTTTTGGTATGCGGATCACGCAGGCATTTTTAGGTTAGGTAATAAAAAAATTGGAAAATCGTAACAGTTAAAAAGGAATAGATTTAGATTGTATCACTCTATCGGGGAAAGTTTATATAGTCTGAGAGGGAAGGGAACTTGAGGGAAAATCTCAGAGGTCCAAAAGTTTTCCGAAAATATCGATAGATTTATAGTTAGAGAAGTTATTTTAATTAATTATGTTATAATTGGCAATATTGGTAGAATATTTATAATAAGGCAAATATATTTACTCTACGGAAACACAACGTTAATATATTAATACAGAATATAGAATAAGAGCAATTTTAAGTATTAAATACACGTTCCGATTTGTATACAGGGTTGGAAAGTCCCCATGGTTCATCGGCCGTTACGTGAGAGCGATAAAGTAAGTCATAGAAATCCGTGCGATAGACAAGGATGGCTATAGTGAAGACGGTTCGTAATTTGAATAGTCACGGCCCGTTTCAGGTTAGAAATGGGAGTGACTTTTCAGATTATGAAACGCATTCAATATAACCATCCTTGTCTATTGCACGGATTTCTATGACTTACTTTATCGCTCTCACGTAACGGCCGATGAACCATGGGGACTTTCCGAACCTGTATA